AGGTATTTCCTCATGTTAGTGAGCGGACAGCCACTATCATTGGGAAATGGGTTATGACAGATATTATTTGTAATTCTTTTTAAAATAATGTTCCAACAACGTAAACAAATGAAAATAATAAAAGAAATAGGTAAGTGGATTTTATGACTTCTTAAATTTGCCGAAAAAATCGTTAAATTTGCGCTAAATTTGGACGTTATGAATGTTTTAGCTTACATTATTTATTTAAAACGAACTTTATATAGTTGTTCATGAATTATTTAAATAATGTAATACACATAACTTTCATATTTATAAACAATAGGATTAATTAGACCTTTCAAATAGTGTATGGCCAAACATGTAGTAGCAAAGATGTTAATTTCAGAACAGTCTCTGGGAACTTGGTGTCACAGCAGTAATCTTCTGGTTGGCTGGTGTTGAAAGAGTTCAACGTTGCCCATGCATTTGCTGCCAAAATAGCAGTGTCTTTCATGCATTTCCACCCATGACATGAATATTGTTATGTTGCCATCCTTGCACAAGCTGAGTGCCAAATAAAATTATCTTGAAAAATTGAGTTATTTTACTTTTATTACGCCAGGATATTTTTTTTCATACCTACCTAACTTTTTAGGACAAAATTCAGGTAAAAAAAAATGTGGGAGGCTTTTTTTTTTTTTTTTAAATTGGCCTGCCTCACTTTTGAAATGAGTTTGGAATCCGTAAACCAAGAAATAAAAAAAGTGTCGCCTGAGCTGTTGAAAACAAAGTGGAGAATTTGTCAAACCTTGTGGTAAACGTTTGAATTGATAAAGGCCTTGATGGGTGACGAAAGCAGTTTTATGCTTTGAATCTTCATGTAATGGCACTTGGAAGAAGCCATTAGCAAGGTCTAAAGTTGAGAAGATCTTAGCTTGGGCATTGGCGATGTGATCAACAACATCATCAAAATCAGGAAGAGGCCAAGACATTGGTAAAGTGACAGAATTCAACTTTCTGTAGTCACAAACAAATCTATATGAGCCATCACGTTTCTTGACTAGGATAATGGGAGCTGAATACATAGAAGTGGACTCCTCAATCAAATCATACTTCAGAAAATCATCTATAAGTTCTTCGGTGACTTTTTGGAGATGAGGGGATTGGCGATATGGTCTACACTTGGTGGGTGGTTGCCAGTGTCAGTGATATGTTGGTGCACGTCAGTCTTTCCTAAATCTGCAAGACTCGTTGAAAACATGTCTCTATTTTGTCCCAAAAATCTAAGTAGTCTGTGTCTACTAATCCTAATTCTTGTGCAATTTTAACATAGTCCCTGGTGTTATTGTCTCTCTTCTCATTGTCAGTGTTAACGGTATTTATTAATGGTTGGTCAGAGTCGATTTCAAAAACAGAGTCTTTGTCAATGTAACTAAATTTGCCTACAACTGTACCCTTGTCAAGAACCTTTTCTTCTTGGGAGGGATTCATAAGCCTAAATGTAGCAGTTTTGCTTTTCACTTTGGAAAGAGTTCTACCACCTGCTACTTCAGAATGAGCAGTGAGGGAAGCAATGGGTTCAATGAGGATGAGGGAATCCTCTTTGGTCTCTGATAGTCTAACCTTGAAATGAATTTCACTCTGAGGGGGGATGTAAATCTGATCTATTGTTTTTGCTAATCCACAAATCTCTTGCACTGAACTGGCTATGAAATTGATGTATTGCCTATCTGAGATGCTGTTAAGTATCAAGGAATGACAGCTATAATCTAAGACTGCATCATTGTCATCAAGGAAGTTTTCACCTAGTATCACTGCCTCTGGAAATGTAGGCAGAATATGAAGCCTTTGAGAAAATTCCTGATCCTCAATGACAAAATCAAACACAACTGAACGTAACACTTTATGCAATTCGCCGCCAACACCTTTAACCTGTGGAAAGGGTGAGTTTCCAAGAGTAAGGTTTTCAAAAGCTTTGCTAAGAAAAGCAGACGAATTACACAGAATTGGATGCCCCTGTATCTACTAAACAATTTGTTGTTTTTGTACCAAATTGTGCCTGAATTACACTTTTGGCAAGGGGCGTAACTAAAGACACTGTTGGAATTTCACTTTCAAAGTTACTTTCCATTCCAGACTCCATATTTGCCATGACACCTATTAGTATGTACCGTACTAAATTAAAGAAAGACAAGTAATCAACAATGTAATGCTGTACTTACAATATTTGAAGACTTTTTCTTCCTTTGTTGGTGTCTTTGGAGGAGTTGGTTGTCTTTAATCCAGTGTTGAGGTCAGAGGTGGATGCATCTTGCTTGTTATTCCATCAGATGATCACGGTTGGACATGTCCTCCAATGGGTTCTTGTAGCTGGTCGTAGTTAGTTCCTGGACTCCGTGGTTCCGAAATCGATGATTCTCCGCCAAATTATCATGGACTGTTATGGTCGAACAAAACTGTCCAAATGGCGTGCTGGTTTTCTTGGGGAATTAGTCAGCAAAGAGCCGGAGTCACAGGAGACTAATCACAATTTTATTTACAAGAACAATGAGCAAGTTACAATATCTTAGAAAAATAGCTGAGGGTGCCACAGAGAGTCGGTACAACCCTCTGGGCTGTGGGAGAGAGATCTGCTTGGTTAGAGTGACAAACCCCTTCTCTGCCCTAACATGTTGCTACAGTATGTATTTAACAAAAATTTGAACAATAAAAAGGAATATGATTGGTTGATACACGATTGGTTGTGCCCTATGCTAAATGAATGGCTAGACAGAGGGGAATACTTTATCCTGTTAATCCTGTTGGACTGGCACTAATCTTGTTGACATATTTACTGGATGCTTTGAAAGAGATTATGGTGTCACTTTTGACGAGCTTGTGTTGGGGCTAATCCTTAATGAGTCTAAATTGAAGTAATTGCTGAATGTTATTCTAATATAGGTGATGACAGATTTACTTAGTAGACATATCTTTTGTCTGGGAGATGGGATCTTGATACCTTAGGCTAGCATTTATCTAAAAGCTTCAAATCTATTAAACTATGTAGACATAACTCTTGTCTTATTGAATAGTATGTCTAGGAGTTGCGCTCCCATTACTTTAGGCTAACATCAATCTAAAAAGCTATAACTGAAACTACTGATATTTTATATATGCATTTTACCTGATAAGTATTACTTGCTAAACTATAATTATATGAATTGATGTATAAATATTACACCATGATAAGTCATAAAAGCACTTGATGTGGATCTAATTATTGTAGGAAAACTTAGTATAAATGTTATATCATGATATTAGAATGGATTAAGGTAAGGTTGGATATGGTAAGGATATGTATCATTCCACTGGTGATGGGTTGGGGGAGTCACATAGATTTTGATTCACATTTTTGGCTAGGGGTCAGCAGTCGTACTAATTTAGAGATGCATTAATTTTACAATTTACAGTATTAAGTACTACGTTACTAAGAAATAAATATATACAATTTACTAACATACATTTCACGTTTACAAATTCCTAGCATAGATTTTCCAAATTTCATCCTCTAAATCTTTCCTAATTTAATGCATCGCCAAACCTTCCAAGGCACGGCTTCCATGTCACTGTTCTTGCGAACAGATGCCAGAATACCATGGTCATTTTGATAATTTGGCTTACCTATTAGTAGTTGTATCTCCATAAATAATCTCACATCATAGAAACAAGTAATACATCCTATGTGATATCATAAAACACTGTTTGCTTGCTACATAAATACATGTCTGAACAATAGTACCCACAATGGTTGTCAAAATTATTTTTAAGGTAAAGGAAAAGAACACATATCTTTACAAACGGTCCCATTGTTGTCAATTGTCAGTCAGGAACCGATACACTTTGCAGGAATGACAAATAACCAAACATGTTATTCTGAAATAAGTCTACTTACAACTGTCAATAGTGGTGATAACCAAGCATTGTAGTATACTTGGTCCCGTCTAGCAAAGCTAGCATTGGTGGTCGCTCATTTCGAAAGCAGAACTTGTTCATGAGTGTTGGCATGTCACCGGAAATGCTGGTACCGGTAGTAGTGCCTCGTGAGACTTACGGGCCCTATTTGCAAGGTGAAAGGTTATAGTAAGAATCATTCAATCAAATGCAAGGATTCCCCCTCTCTGTTAACATGGTCCTCCAAGTGCTCCATCGCTGGTCCAAGCTCAGTTTGTGGGTCAGCTGACACTAATTGGCATATGCTGATTACGGGGGCTAATTAGAACGGCGCCGGTTAGAGAACTGAGAGTTGTTTCCCTTTGACATTAACTTTCATATTATTCACTACTGCATGAACAAGCACAATTCTAATGTGCTACACAGCAGGGGAGGAGGCACGGGTGGCATGGATGGCCCAGGCATCTAAGGCACCACAATTCACTGTGCAGAGTTGCGACCCTTAAGCACACCAGAAACCTATGATTATTTGTTCAAATCCCGGTTTGCCCCGATTATGTTTCTAGGTTTGTCAGCACCATGGGTTTCAGCGAAGTGGTAGATGTCTGAGACCTGCATCACTTCGGGCTTTCCTCCCACATTAAGCTGACACGCCGCGATATAACTGGAATACTGTTAAAAGCGGCGTTAAACCAAACTCACTCGCTCACTCTGAGACCTACATCAGGTTGAGCCTTCCACCCACATTTAGCTGACAAGCCGTGGCATATTTAGAATATTGTTCTAAACACCTTTAAGTCCCAACTCACGACGCACTCACTCCTAGTGGGTTGACTTGTTACATCAGGGAATATGTATAATAGCTGAAAATTTTAGAGATTATACATATTCCCTGTGACATATGTACATATAAGTCAGCCCTTTCAAATCCTAATTTGGTAATACCATGGAAGTAATTATAAGTTTATATTGCAGTGTTGGCAATGTAGGGGGTCCTGAGGTTTAATAAAATAACATTTGACCTTACCCCTTGAATGTCATGCTTCAATTCTTGTAATTTATGGATTAGTACATTGAAGGAATGTAAAGTGCCGGTTGAACACTTACAGATCTATCCAGCTGGTTGTCGACCGAGGCATGAGCTGGGAGGCGGCCCTGATCCGTCTTAACAACTACAAAGGACGGCAAGATGGCTTCTATGTCTCCAAGCGAGATATCTGGGGTAGCAAGCACTACATACTGGCCACTCAGAAGGAGAGTTCCACACATCTCTTCAAGATAGCAAGGTAAATAGACTGAATGACCATGGTTACCAGATGAAGGTATTGATCCATGTTATATATATTTATTTCAACACTTCCATGTTAAAATAGACCGCCTCCATGGCCTGGTGGTAGTGCTTCCACCCCGGGAGCCGAGGGTCTGGGGTTCGATCCCTGGCCGTATCATACCAAAAGACGTTAAAAGATGGTATTTGTTGTTACCCTGTCTGGCACTTGGCATTAAGGGGCTAAAACAAGGAATGATCAGCTCGGAGTTAGTATACTGTCTCTGAGTGGGGTATTCATGTAAACTGAGGTATGGTAACTCAGTGGGCTAGCACTATAAATCGGCATCAGTCCGGGCTAGTTAAAGCACGCACACATGCACGCACGCAGACAGACATGCTTGCTATATAAGTCTCTACATAAGTGCAATACCCTTGGAAGTGACGTTAAACCCCATTTCACCTCATCTCCATGTTAAAATAGGTGCCTGATTAAGCAGCCCCATGTAAAGGAAGCTGCCTGATATGTTTTCTCAAATTATATGAACTAGTTTTCTCAACCTCATGCTGATGACATAGACTTCATACCTAATATACCTTCTATATATCTCTGGGAAATTTTCTAACATATGATTCGATGACATTGAAGGTCAAGGTCACTCAGTATGAATTTTGGTGTACACAAAAACTTGAGTATAAATGATTAGAACATGATCTTTAATCGCATGAACTTCTGACTTCCATGCAAGGTTACTAGAGATCAAATTATGGAACATGGATAAAAAAATGAAATCTCAGATTAATTCATGAAATATAAGGTAAATGTAGTCAGTGAGTCAAAGTAACAAACTGAACATCTATCATTTGTCAAGGTTGCTCATGACTTGTGAATAGTTTCATTCACATAGTATTGTGGGTATGGTAATCATAATACAGGGCTCGAAAAATTCATTCGTCTGCTCGCTCGTATTGACGAGTGGCAGCGTGTCCAGGCGAAATGGAAGTGAAGAAACACACGTCCTACTGGGCGAGTACATATATTTCATTCGCATCAATTCATCTCAAATCGTTTTCAATAAAATATGCAGGTTACTTTCGAACCTAAAATATGTTTTCATTTCTTGTACATTCATAATAACAATAACAAACTATGTCACATATCATAAATAGACAGCATACTTGGCAACTGTCTGTTGAAAAAACTATTATATGAAAAACATTATATCTGTTTTTGTTGTAGGCTACTTGATACTAATTCTCAAAAGTGAAAGTGAATGATTTTGTGAGGGTAATGGCTCTTGTTAAATGTGGAATGGTATTGTTGACAAGAAAAATGAAGATTTGCTTACCAATCAGGCCCAAAAATGTATTTAATTATAAAAACCAATTTTACTACAAACCAAAAACGAAATGTTCATGGTTGTGTGACTTTGAATGGGCAGAGATGAATGTGGATGTCAGTGATTGTTAACTTTTGGACCGTCTGTAGTAAATATGCTCAACTCAAAGGTTAATTACAGCAAATAATAATAATAACTGAGAACATAAAACATTCAATAGGGCAAGTGAAAATATTGTACTACAAAAATATTGCATCTACTTGCCCTACAGGACAAGTTGGGTTTTAGACATTTTTCGAGCCCTGCATTAGTTTGCAGCAAGTAATGTTCTCAGAAGTCAGCATCCCAGTGGGAAGCAGTTGTGCTCACCTCCTTGCTTAACTCTTTCTTTAGGCACAGGAATTGGAATTTCTCCTCGGATTGGCAAAATCAAAACATGGGAATTTGGCAAAAAAGCTTCAGGTGTATCAATAATTTGATATCGTTCATAAATGATCAAATAGCCAATTCACTTCCACTGATTTATCCACTGAACAATAATGAGAGCAGCTATGCCACCTCACCTGTTTCATGCAAGGTCCATGCATAAACATTCAGAGTGACAAAGAAAGACCCTCCACCAGATTTCAAAGAGTGTCAGGTGTCAAGTGTCAAGAGTGTTTTGATCAGGGTGATAGCTTAAAGGCTTCAGTAAAGCTTTTAGAAGGTTTTATGGTAGACATATAAAGAAAATTTCGAAATTTGACACATCAGTGTCTAAACTGATGTGCAATCCAATTCTTCAGTTTGATGTGTACCATATGTTTCCATGTTTGTTCAGGTGAACACTTGACTTGCCTTTGTATGTGTTTGTGTCGCTGGTGAAACAGAATGTATGCTCACCTTTTTGCAAACACCTGGTATCATCAATATTTGTTGGTTATTCACATGCTCATGATGTAGTTGTACAAGAGACTCTGCAGAGAATTTCTTTGATTATGGAAAGAATTTTGTTGCTTATGTATATTTCTGTTCATACTTGAGATTGAAGGTCAAGGATATTTTACCAGAAGTACTTTTAAGTCTGTTATTATGTTTGATCTGTAAGAATAATCAAGGATGCAATAACTGACAATTTATCTTAACCCCAGACCGAACACTGGCCTGTCTACATTTGATGAGGAGAAAACTGACCTGCTGCACAAGTATGTTCCCATACAGGCAGAGAAAGCAGGTTAGTGGAGTAGGGATACCCTACCTCTATTACATCATAGCATTAATTCCTGCAATTTGACTAACATCACAGTAAAAAAATCCCTAGATTTTCAGACCACCTGCAAATAGAGTGTCCGCCTGGAAAGCGGAAAGTCGGCGGTTCAATCCACGGCCACGCCATGCCAAAAATCATTAAAAAGATGGTATTTGTTGTTACCCTGTCTTGTGCTCAGCATGAAGGGGCTAAAACAAGGACTGGTGGGTTCAGAGTCAATATACTGTGTCTGAGTGAGATATTCATGATCATGTTAAAACTGCGGCATGGTGTGTCATTGGGCTAGCACTATAAAATCGTCATTAGTCCAGACTAATACAAGCAGACAAACGCATGCAAGCACACACACAAGTGCAACAATCTTGAACGCGACATTAAACCCTATTTTACTTAGTGGTAGAACGTCCGGTCTGGGGTTCGATCCCCGACTGCGTCATACCAAAAGATGTTAAAAGATGGTACTTCTTGTTACCCTGTCTGGCGCTCGGCATTAAGGGGCTTAAACAAGGACTGGTCGGCTTGGAGTCAGTATACTGTGTCTGAGTGGGGTATTCATGTTAAACTGCGGAATGGTATCTCAGTGAGCTAGCACTATAAATCAGCATCAGTCCGGACTTGTACAAGCAGCCACACAAACACACACACACGTACATGCACGTCGCTATATAAGTGCAATAATCTTGGACGCGACGTTAAACCCCATTTCACCTCACCCACCTCTTTACTGTGTGTGCAAGTTAAAACACATCTAATATTTCTGTCTACACTTCCACATGTTTTTTTGTTTATATCACTTATAAAGTATATTTCAAAATTCCAAAAGACGAATCTATACATTAATTCCTTTCTGGGTACACGTAGGTAGGATTTGGTAGTATATAGTATCTCTCTTTTTGAGAGAATAGACTCAAACCCATTGCCTGCCAGCCTGCTACAATGCTATTATAGTCAGTGACCTAAGTTCAAGGTGCAATCTGTTGAGCAGAGCTCTGCATTATACATCTTGATGCACAGAATGCACTGATGTCTCCGGCTCGTCTTTTGTCATACTACGATCATAATGGGAAGGTGTTGCTGCTTCATCGTTGTCTTTGAAAGAAATCTAGGAAGACGATCACTATAGTAGCCAGGGTTCAGGGAAATATATCCCAGACACGTCAGACGCATGATGATTGTCTGTTGAGGAGCAGCATGATCCAAGTTTATCTGTGTGTAGCGGTACCTCTCTCTCACGTGATGATCACGTGCCCAGTGTTTAACTGCAAGACGGTCTGCTGTTTGCAGCAAAAACAGACCGGTCAACCCTCCCGTACTTTGATGAAATCACCCAGTCTCCCGCATGATGGACTATTTCTCCCGCAAAACAGAATTCTTCATTATTTTAAAAATTTGTCTCCATTGTCTCATGAGTAAAAACAAAGAACGGGAAGTTTACGTCCCGATCTGTCTGGTAGGCTCCCGGATTAGCGACCCTTATCACAGCCAACCGCAGGGGGACCCAGATGGGCCTTTGTCTAGTAATCAACTGGTAACTCAATTCATATGGTGAATGATTGAACAATGTAAACTGTAAAGAAAACTCGGATAGTCCTAACAGGTGCCTGAAGGGTTGAACTTTAAATGCATAATCAGCCGAGTATTCATAACTTCCTGAAATGAACTGTTGTCTTCATGTTCTTAGCATGTTTATTCTTCCATAATTTAAGAACGTAGAGAACTCCAAGGCTCGCTAAATTTATAGTGTTTATTCCTAATACAGGATATTCCCCATCCCCAAACATACAAGCGTGATAACCTCTTTATCATATAATGTCATTCTTTAATTCTGTGCTTGAAAATCGCTTTTCCTCTCTCACAAACATTACCGAAACATTGCGAGTTTTCCTGGAATGTGTGCAATAATATTTATTATGTCACAGGGTAATTGATGTGTCAGTCGGACAGTGACAGTAACCAATATAGTTCCAACTGAAATCTGTTTCTTATATACACTGGTGAAGCAACATATACGCAAAACAACAATTGTTTTTACATGCCTTTCGTGGCAATCCATCGGTCTGTCTTCTAGAGTAACTGCCCTTTGTCAAAGGGAAGCTACTCTAACCCTAGTCTATGAGACGTCACGGACACATTAAGACGTTGTTGACAGTCGGCCTGTCCTTTCATAACGTTAAGTGCAGTCAGATGTACACACAGCGACAAAACGAAACAAGGTAACAATTCAAACATATTTTGGCCTATATAACTATTTTAATTTGTGGAAAAGGTTTCAAGCCCCAGAGGTCGACAAGCACGGATATGGCTAATGATCCTCTTGGCTTGGCCTATTGCCCTCGCAAAATTGTTTTGAAATTTATGTCTCCAAAGTTGCTAAAACTTATAAAATGCCTTAGCTACGTCACATTTGGACACTGATTTTCAGTATATTAGATAGCAATTATCCCTTTAGTTTATCCAGATTCCCGATGGTTAATTCTGACTCGATCGCCGAATGACAAGGGCGACGCCATGTTTCTTTATAAACAGTGAAAGTAGAATCGTCCAACAAAAACAAATATGACTTTTAACGAGTTACAGTATGGCATTTATAATATATGTATCCATTCTCTGTCAACTAAAGTTCGTTTCAAGGCGTCAATAGCGGTAATCTGACCGTGGTTGGTGTTAATAACGGTGAGTTGTGCGATCTTCCAATCGCTTCATACACGATTTCGCCGAAATTAATTAAAACAATATTAAAAGGAATTTTGAATAAAATTAATAAAATGAGTTACAAACATAAGTCCAGATGTACAAAGAACACTTTTTATAGCCAGACAGTGTAATTACATGACTAATTTGCGTACTTCAGTATTGATTTGTTGACATGGTATTTCCGGTGTTACGTGCTCGCGGTAATGTCTTTCTATGGGCGAAAAAACATCAAAACTCATTAATTCGTGTATAGTGCGCACCCACAGCTGTGTTATTAGAAAAATAAGTGCGCACTATACTCAAGAAAATATGGTAGTCCCTACTTAACCTTTGAAATTTGCATCTCTATCCGCATATGACCCCAACGGATATCATTTTTATCCGTTGGCTTTATCCTGCCGAGAAACCTACTCATTATATGATAAAAGAAACTTATTAATTATTTATTGTTTTAAAATATTTGGTTTTCTTAATAACATTAATAAAAATAAAAGTTGGAAATTATCTTATCTTCACTACATGTATTTAAAAAATCTCCCCCTTTGGAGGCAAATCTCCCCCATTTTGAAGTCAAATCTTCCACATTGTCATGATGAGGGGTTGACAGGTCTGCAAAAACATTTGAGGCCAAGAAATATCTGACAGGACTGCACGATCTTGAAAGGCATAAATCGAGAAGAAACAGACCATTTTTTCCCGCACAGCAAGGAAAATTTGGGACTGTTTCATTCAATCAGGATTGAGTCCCCATCACATGACCGTCAGTCTTGTTTGGACGATTACTAACAGCAACAGGCGACTAGCAAGAAGTGCATACATCGAGTATCGGAGGCCAGTTGGGAGCCTTCCAGATAATTTTGTCTGGACAACTGGACACTGAACGAAGGCCTCTCCCATGACACCATCTTCAATACTCTGCCATGGCCATCATGCACAACCAAATCAATTTGGGATGCAAATGACAATTTCTCACACAGCAAATTGGATGATAAGTTCCTGCTGCATTCTATTAAGTGGTCAACTTATAGAACACATTGGTCTCTGTTTTCTTAACTACCCTCTAGGCGACACTTTTTTTATTTCTTGGTTTACGGATTTCAAACTCATTTCAAAAGTGAGGCAGGCCAATTTAAAAAAAAAAAAAAAAGCCTCCCACATTTTTTTTTACCTGAATTTTGTCCTAAAAAGTTAGGTAGGTATGAAAAAAAATATCCTGGCGTAATAAAAGTAAAATAACTCAATTTTTCAAGATAATTTTATTTGGCACTCAGTTTGTGCAAGGATGGCAACATAACAATATTCATGTCATGGGTGGAAATGCATGAAAGACACTGCTATTTTGGCAGCAAATGCATGGGCAACGTTGAACTCTTTCAACACCAGCCAACCAGAAGATTACTGCTGTGACACCAAGTTCCCAGAGACTGTTCTGAAATTAACATCTTTGCTACTACATGTTTGGCCATACACTATTTGAAAGGTCTAATTAATCCTATTGTTTATAAATATGAAAGTTATGTGTATTACATTATTTAAATAATTCATGAACAACTATATAAAGTTCGTTTTAAATAAAAAATAATGTAAGCTAAAACATTAATAACGTCCAAATTTAGCGCAAATTTAACGATTTTTTCGGCAAATTTAAGAAGTCATAAAATCCACTTACCTATTTCTTTTATTATTTTCATTTGTTTACGTTGTTGGAACATTATTTTAAAAAGAATTACAAATAATATCTGTCATAACCCATTTCCCAATGATAGTGGCTGTCCGCTCACTTACATGAGGAAATACCTCCGTTTTCAAAGCTTCGTATGAATAACACATACGTCCTGCCATGTCAGTATACATTAAAAAAACTTATATTGTTTCACCGATAAAATCTGCTACAAGGTTCGTGATTGGTCAAATTTAAGCACGTGACCTAAGGCAGCCAATCAAATTACAGCAACGGTAATTTTCAGACTTTGGTGAAAGGTTTGGGTTAAATCATGTTTTCTGAACGTTTTAGCATGAAATCGCGATCTATATTAAAAATATGGAACTTTATGGATGCATAGAGCTAGGTTACGAGCTGTGACAAAGATGTCTTATGCATATATTTTGGCATTAAGACATCGTGTCCGAGCCGAGATGTCATTTGAATTACGATATGCGATCGCACGAAAAGTTGGAAATAATAACTAAGATGTCAGTTTGGCAACTTTATAGATATATTTTTGATGATTTTATTATTTTGTAAATAAAGACGTTTCAGAACGTGAAAC